ACCCCACAGATCCCCCTGCCCCACAGATCCCATCTCACCCCATAGATCCCCTCTCACCCTACAGATCCTCCTGCCCCATAGATCTCCCTGCCCCACAGAACCTTCTCACCCCATAGATTCCTCATTAGGCCACGGGATCTTCTCCCCCCACAGGCCCTTCTTGCCCCATAGATTCCCCCTTCCACCAGGGGACCTTCTCCCCCCACGGGACCTTCTCACCCCACAGAATCTTCTCAGCCCTTGGGACCTTCTTGCCCCATAGATTCCCCTTTACCCCATGGGTTCTCACCCCACAAGATCTTCTCTCCCCATGGGACCTCCTCCCCCCATGGGACCTTTTCACCCCACAAGATGTTCTCCCCCCCATGGAACCTTCTCCCCCCTTGGGATCTTCTTATCCCCACAAGATGATCTTCCTCCATGGGACCTTCTCACCTCTTAGGACCTTCTCCCCCCATGGGACCTTCTTCTCCCCACGGGACCTTCTTCTCCCCCCAAGATGTTCTTCTCCCCACGGAACCTCCTCCCCCCATGGGACCTTCTTCTCCCTGGAACCTTCTCACCCCTTGGAACCTTCTCCCCCCATGGGACCTTCTTCTTCCCCCAAGATGTTCTTCCTCCCTGGAACCTTCTTCCTCTGTGGAACCTTCTCACCCCTTAGGACCTTCTTCTCCCCATGGAACCTTCTCACCCCCATGGGACCTCCTGCCTCCATGGAACCTTCTTCTCCCCCCCAAGACGTTCTTCTTCCATGGGACCATCTTCCCCCATGGGACCTTCTTCTCCCCACAAGATGTTCTTCCCCCATGGGACCTTCTTCCTCCATGGAACCTTCTCACCCCTTAGGACCTTCTCCCCCCATGGGACCTTCTTCTCCCCACGGGACCTTCTTCTCCCCCCATAAGATGTTCTTCCTCCACGGGACCTTCTACCCCCATGGAACCTTCTTCTCCCCACGGGACCTTCTTTTCCCCCCAAGACGTTCTTCCTCCATGGAACCTTCTCCCCCCATGGAACCTTCTCCCCCCCCATGTCCCCATCACCCCCTGGTCCTTCCTCCTCCTCTTCCTCCCCCTCCCCCAAACTCACCGTGATGATCTCCAGCACCTCGCTCTTGCTGACCTCCCCGTTGCGATCCACGTCGAAGAGGGAGAAGGCCCACTCCAACTTGAGGTGGGTCTTGCCCGAGGAGGTGAGGTGGAGGGCGATGATGTACTCCCGGAAGTCCAAGGTGCCGTCGTCGTTGGTGTCGAAGCTGCGGAAGACGTGGCGGGCGTAGCCCTGGGGGTCCGAGTTGGGGAAGAAGGTGCCGTAGATCTTCTCGAACTCCCCCCGGCTGATGCGCCCGTCGGGGCACTGCCGCTGGAAGCTCTCGTACCACCGGCACAGCTCCTCCTCCGAGAACCTGGTGTTGGTCTTCAGCTCCTCCAGGATCTCCTTAGAGAGGGCCCCGCTCCGGGTGTTCCCCATGGGGACGGGAGGAAGAAGAGGAGGAGGTGGGAGGAAGGAAGGAAGGAAGGAAGGAAGGAAGGAAGGAAAAGAGGAGGTGGTGGAACCCCCTAAGAGCAAGGAGGAGGAGGAGGATGGGGGTGGTGGAACCCCCAAAATTTGGTCTTGTAGGAGGAGGAGGAGGTGGTGGAACCCCCTGAGAGTCAAAGGAGGAGGATGAGGATGGAGTTGGTGGAGGAAGAGGAGGAGGAGGAAGAGGAGGTGGTGGAACCCCCTAAGAGCAAGGAGGAGGAGGAGGATGGGGGTGGTGGAACCCCCAAAATTTGGTCTTGTAGGAGGAGGAGGAGGTGGTGGAACCCCCTGAGAGTCAAAGGAGGAGGATGAGGATGGAGTTGGTGGAGGAAGAGGAGGAGGAGGAAGAGGAGGTGGTGGAACCCCCTAAGAGCAAGGAGGAGGAGGAGGATGGGGGTGGTGGAACCCCCAAAATTTGGTCTTGTAGGGGGAGGAGGAGGTGGTGGAACCCCCTGAGAGTCAAAGGAGGAGGATGAGGATGGAGTTGGTGGAGGAAGAGGAGGAGGAGGAAGAGGAGGTGGTGGAACCCCCTAAGAGCAAGGAGGAGGAGGAGGATGGGGGTGGTGGAACCCCCAAAATTTGGTCCTGGAGGAGGAGGAGGGGGCGGTGGAGCACCCTGAGAA